CAGCAGGATGGCGCGGCATCTTTGGATTCAGAATCATCTCAGCACTTTGCCAAGGCAGTTTCCCGAGGACCCTGTGCAGCATCAGTTGTCTCTCTTTCCCTTGTGCCACTTCGGCTTGCCCCTATGCATTCCGCATGTCCGTGGAATGTGCGCGTGTTACGCGTGAGCGCGCGGGCCTCTCATGAGTTGCCAGCTAAGATGCTTGGGCACTTGAAGCGCTTGGCGCGTGATCGCGCTATGGTCTAGTTCCAGAGTCCCATGGGCGTGCAGGTGTCCGATTCGAGCGCCAACGTCGGTGCCCAGATCTTACGGTCCCCACTTCCTTCGGTGATTCGGAGGCAGCTGGAGGCGCCCTCGTGTTTCTGCTTGATGCGTCAGCTTTGCTATTCTCAGCCCTGACTGAAATCAAAGCTGCGCCTGGGCGTTATTCTCATCATCCAACGCAAAGGCTCCCAAGGCCCCCTCGCGATCTCCAACCTCATCCTGGGCCCCGATGCGATTGCGGCCGCAGCGGAAGCGGCGTCTTAGATCTTGGGATGTCGGCCAGCTCCAGGCCAAGATCTGTCCACGCTTTTTGGATCTGGGGAGGGGGCGTCGACGTTGCTGGGGAGGGCGCAGCAGCTAAGCACCGGCGACGGACACGTCGAGATGTTCCCGGCCACGCGGCAAATCTTTCTGCCGCAGCATGCCCCTATTTGGCCAGAATCCACCAGCCCGAGCTCATTCGCAAAACTTTCTTCTGGGATTAATTGTTTTTTCGGGGGGGGGGGGGTCGGCCCCCTGCTATTCCACGCGGTGACGGTAGGCGCGGCGCGCCGTGCTGGGACGTGAAATACAAGGCGTTTCTGGATATTTTTCATGTTCTGGAAGAGATCGGTTTATGCCGGGGCCCGGCAGTTGCGGCCCAGGAACGCAATGGCGTCTTGCGCGAGGCCCCCAGGACCATGCGCAGCGCTGAATTTCGCGGCCCTGGGCGGTCGCGGAGCAGCGCGCGGGCGCCTGCGTCGGCTCGGACTCGTAGGGGGCGAGATCACGCCACTGCCCGCGCGCCTGACGCTGCGTCGACAGCTTGTCAAACGTTTGCGATTCGCACGTGGCGCAGCGACGTGACTTCGAAGAGTTCGCTCGCGAGCTCCCGGGGCTCGCCGGCGCCCGCCGTCAGCGCGAGCAGCGGAAAGTGGCCGATGATTCTCTTTCGCGCCCAGCCGCCAAGGCGCGCCCGCTGTCGAGGCATCGAGGGTCGGCTGCCACCCGGGCCCCCGCGTGCCGTGAGCTATATTTCCATTCCATGCGCAACGCATATGGCATATCCTGCAGGTCCCGCAATGCCTCCGCCAGCGCCCGCTCTCACCACCGGGGCCAAGCACGCCGGCGCCGCGAGGTCGAGGACGCCCACTTCGAAGCCCTCGACCATTTCATCCACGCAGTTTGGGGGGATGTGGAGTGGAAGATCTACGAGGGGAGGCCGTCGGATGCGATCCTGTGGCTGAAACATTTTGCCCTTGGGATGGTCGGGCATTCGCGCTCGGACATGGAGGCGATAGGCGCCTCGTTGTCAGTTATGTTCCTTAAGTTTGCCAGCGCGTTCGTCGCGGCGGTGGGGCTTGCGACGGGCTCGTCGATGGTCTGGCGGTGCTTCTGTCTAATGTGGCGACCGCGATGGAGATTCTCGGGCCCGCGGCCGATCCCAGGCCAGCGCCCGGCATGCCGCCCGGAGCAATGCCGACCACAGAAGTATCGCGAAGGCGCTCAACGTTCCTCTTGCGAGTGTCTCCAGTGAAGTCTCCGTTGGAACTCAGACAGGTTTCTTACCGGGTCGGCCGGGGCTCGATCGCGCGATCGACATCGGTTCTCGAGTCACCTTCGCGGAAGCTCTGGAGACTGCGCGCGACGGCAGAGCGCGTTTGCCCGGCATGCGCCAGACGCTCCCGAGATTGAATCGCCCGCGATGGCAGAGGTGCCGGGGGAAGATGGGGCCCCCAGGTACCTCCGGAAGGCGGCGGGGGAGCTGCGTGATAACATGGAAGTAGGAGGAGGGGCCACGCAGGGGGTCTGCTGTCAGGGGTCCTCTCCGCGGTCTGCATGGGCCCCGTCCGCGGGCATCCTTGCAGCATCGCAGGTCCTTCCCATTCGCCGTGGTGCGCTCGTTGCGCGGCTGCGCCGGCGACGCGGCGGCCGCTCCCAGGAATATCTGTTGCGCGACGCCAGCGATTTCCAGGTGTGTGGCGAAGATTGCTCCTGATTTGGCCCGTTTAGTTGCCCTTCAAACGCGGTGGTTGAGTTTCCCCGTCAGTTCGAGCCTTCGACTTTCAGGGCTAAGATTCTGAAGGTCGGGTGGCGGGCGAGCAGGTCTCCAGCGTGGCATCCGGGCAAACAGCTTGGATCTTGGTGTCGCCATTGGTCGCGATGCCTTGAGAAGTCGCGGGCGACGTCTGCGGCGGCGCTCTGGCAGAGGGGCGCCCAGGTCAACGGCCCAAGTTCGCCCCCCATGGGCCACGTAGCCGGGAGAAATTGGCCACGTGGCCCAAGTCCATCCTTCATCCCCCCGACATTGCGTTCTTCAAAATATGAGCCGATGGCAGACATGCTGCAAAGGCGTAGGGATTTTGGACCGGACCAATGATGCCGACACCTCCTCATCCGTGCACGCGCCGCTCGTCTCCGCGTCGCCATCAACAGCAAGTCCCCCCACATTGCCAAGCAAGAATATATTTCCACCCTCGAGGGTGGTGGCTAGCTATGCAGTCGCCCACCGTGTTGCTAAGCTTGTATATTCCTCGATATTTTTGTACCGTGAGAGTGTGCTGGGTTCTTTTGGGGGTTTGCAGCTGGTCCCGGGAGGGCCTCTTGCCTGCGGCATCCAGGCTAGGGCTGAGTTGGAGGTAATGAAGGACCACATGTCTAGCTGCATGAATCTTTTGACGCCAAGGATGCGCAAATAGTGTTCTGAATGCCCCGGCTCCGTCATCCTCCGTACCTTCCTCTTTCTTGGTTTGGTCACCCACAAATTGCCTTCCCATATCTTAGCCTCCTAATTCACAATTATTTTGAAAGGGCGGAATGCATTGGCAAAGTCGGGAGTGAGAGCATGTAAGCTGGGATATCGGTTTGCTCATGGACACATGATATTGCATTATTTATGTTGAGAAGACGTTCGGCCGTGTGTGAAAGCCTTGTTCCCTCTCCTAGCGCGTGGGTTTCGGGAGCCTCACTTGTCCAGGGATGAAGTGTGCAGTATATGTCTAGCTATTGATCTCACGCCCGCACAACCATGTCCGTCCCCGAGCCTTGCTCCCCAATCGCACGTTTCCTCTACCTTGGCTCGCAGTCTGTCCCAAGGCCAGGTCATCTGACGGTCCCATCATTCGGAATTAACTGTACGTTCCCCCCACCCTCCTCCTCCTCCCCCTTTTCCTCCTTCTCCTCCTCCTCCTCCCCCTCGTGCTCCTCCTCCTCCTCCTCCTCCTCCTGCTCCTGCTCCTCCTCCTCCTGCTCCTCCTCCTCCTCCTCCTCCTCCTCCTCCTCCTCCTCCTCCCTCTCTTGTAGTCCATCGCCGGATTTCCCTTCCAGGATGGGTTTGCCAATGGCTGGAGTGCGACTCTCCCTTGGCGGGGTCGCGCAGGTGGCTCGCCGAAGGTGGCCATGCGAAGATCAAAGAGTCATGCTGTCGGCGCGCATGTGGCGCGTCGTGGCCTCCTCATTTGTTACTGATGTTATATGGCGTTCCAACAAGAGCCTTGCCTTTGAGGGTCAAAGGAGTTGCCAATCTTTCTTCGGCGAGAGGCGGCGGAAGGCTGGCGGAAGGCGGCACAAGTAAAACGAGGTCGCTTCCGTCGGCGGAAGGCCGCCGGAAGGCGGCGGAAAGTAAAAGATGTTCCCCCAAGGGATGACAACCTCTTTTAGGTTCAAGGTTTCCGAAATCGGCCATGCAGACCCCACGACGCCACATTACCACAACCTGGATTGATCGGCGGGGTTGGCCAGGTGGGTTGGCAAGAGAGGGTGCGGCGCAATCAGTTTAGCACGTGTTCGAGACAGGTTCCTCCACTGCCCGACCCCATTCCGACGAGCTCTTCGACGACGACGCCGAGGTGTCTTCGAGGACACTGTGCCTTGGCTCGTCCTTGCCGTTCTCCGTTTTGCTCCGTCCGCGAAGCGCCTGGCTGGGAAAGTTGATGCGATGGGCAGCGGGTTTTGTTTGTTTCCCGTTCTCACTCTCTCTCTCTCTCTCTTTCTCTCTCTTTCTATCAATGTCTATAGATTGTTGTTGTTCTCTCTATATATATATATATACATATATATATATATATGTATATATCTTTATGTAGGTCTATATTTGTATGTATGGATTGCGAATACCTTACGGCCAGTGCCGCCGACCCTGTGCGTTAGGAGCGAAGAAGGAGGAGGAGGAAGGGGAGGAGGAGGAGGTACAAGTTAGCTGAAGGCGTCTGGGGAGGCAAGCACTCGAAGGTGCTCCCAGGGAAGGGTGCTCCTCCCCTGGGGGGGTACAGCCCCGGGGACCCCGGATCCCAACCCCGCGACCACCCTTCGGGCCCCACCCTCTCGGAGGACGTCCCCCCAGCGGGGCATGGATCAAGAGAAGGGGTTTCCCTTCGACTCGATTTCGACGTTGCTAGATGTTTCAATTGCTGGATTTGGTGACGATGAGGGTTGGGGAAGCAGCTGCGAAGAGCAGCGGACTTCACTACATGTTGGGTCGTTGTTACCAATTCGGTTTTCTCCAGGGGGGGCCTAAAGCTGTCAGCACCGCTAAGCTGGCCAAGAAAGTGCCCCCTCGTGTCCAAGTACTGTTTTGCTGTCCCGATCTAGCCGACATATTCAGAGCCCCAGAATCTCATTCCACGTCCTCCTGGTGCCCGGGCTTGAGTTTCAAAGTCAGCGGTCAATCTCCTTGGGTGGTGCACCAGCTTGTTCGTTTCGCCTCGGGGCTGCGGCTGTTCGCCTGCTGGCCGCTGCACTTGAAAAGTCGCCTCCAGGATGGACGCCTCTGACCACTGGGTGGCCTACGCCCACGTCATCGGAGGGACCGTCTCGAAGAAAGAGGCTGAAGTCGCGACGCACCGCCGCAAGGTGGCCACGTACTACTAGGTGGAAGCGCAGACCCACTGGAAGCCGAAGACAGTTTTTTGCTCGGCCCGTGCGGTGCAAGCTCCCCAGAGATACGGATATGGTTTTCAAAGCAGTTCTTCCCATCCTCAGTGATGCTGGTCTAGTTTTCAGAGCACGGTTTAGGAGGAGTAGCCCCAGATTTCAATCCACGCGCATCGTTAGTTTCTGATTCTGTCGAGTAGCGCTAGCCCACGAGTGTCCGACCTCTTTCCAAACGCACGAGCAGCTATAGGTTACCATACTGACATACAGGCAGGACCTCCGTAGCCACTTAGGCTAAAACCATGTGTCTAATTAGGCAAAGTTGTCATCAGCTCGAGGTTGTCGAGCCAGACCCTCGATTAGGCGATCTCCACGGGTGGTCGCCAGGCCAGACGCTCCGCCTTCATCGACTGCCTGCGTCACCTGCGCAGCGCTAGTTTGCAGATCGAGTCGGAGGCTCGATGCTTGTTGCTGGGCCATGGCGCGTGGGCGTACCCATTGTTTTGGCATTGCCTCGACTGGTTCATTATTTGCGGCGGAGGAGATGCCTTGGCAGCGGCCACTTGTCGCTCAGAGCCACTACGGGCATGGCAGGTGTGGCGCTGCAGCTGGCGGGGCCCACGGGGCGGAGCCGCCCACTCATGGCCCTGCGGTGGGGAGGAAGCCGGTGCTGGGGCACGCCTCTGGGTGGTGGCGGAGGTGCTGCGCCGAAGCCACCCGAGCCCCGCGCAGCTGGCGTGCAGGGAGCAGCACCAGCCTGCTGCGGGCAACGGGGCGGCACGAGGACCCCAGAGCGCAGGCAGTGGAAGCAGCGGGCGCTACGCAACGTCAGAGGAGGACACGGTACCCATACCTCTACCCTTCGGCCGATTTCCCTCTGTTTGGGGCCTCCTCGGAGGATCTCGTCGCCACCGCTGGATTCGCCTCGAAATTCTGGTCAGAACGCACCCCTGGAGAGGTCCGGGGCGTAGCGGTATGGGTACCTTGTGGTTTCCCCTCCACCCGTGACCAGGGAGAGAGGGACAGAGAAAGAGAGAGAGAGAGACAGCAGGACTGTTTGCGCCCATTTCGGATCACGCCGCCCTGGCTCCGGCCCTCGTCGCTCGGCAACCTGCCGCTGTTCCTCCTCCTCGTCCTCCTCCTCCTCCTCCTCCTCCTCCTCTGCCCGCGACCGCCGGGATGCTGACGGCAGCGGACACGCCCCGCCGGCGGCGCCCCATGGTGCTGCCTGGCAGGGCCTGCCCGGCCTTCCCGCCCGCGGGCCTGCGCCGCCTCTCCCGTCTTCTCGTCCTTCCCTCTCCAGCCCAGTGCCTGCCGCCGGGGCGCCCGCGGCGCGGCGGCGGCGGGCGCTGCGCGGCGTGGCGGCGGGCCCGACGTGCCTCGCGCGCGGGCCGCCGCCGGTGCGCGGTGGTCGGCCTCGGCGCCCCCGCGCGGGATGGTGCGGCTGTCGGAGTGGCCCTCGGCCGCAGTGGCCTCTGGTGTGCGGCTGCCGGGGGGCGTGGAGGGGCCAGGCCCGAAGACGGCCGCTGTTGGCGCACCGCATGCAACGGATGGCGGGCCGCGCGCAAGAGGTCCCTCTTGCCTCGGGTCACTCTTGCGTGTGGCCGAGCTCGACGGTCAGGGAGGGGCGGGGTGGTCTGGGCTCGCCAGCTTCCTCCGCGGTCGTTCCTCTTCTGGCGCTCCTCGTGCACAGAGGCACGCTTTTGAGAGGGGGGCAGAAAGAGGCTTCGTTCCTCATCATTTAGCGTTCCGCATGATTGAACGAGGGCTGTACACGCGCAGCTGCAGTCGGGGCCTGGAGAAGCATCTGAAGGATCAGAAACGAACGATGTGCATCGAAGGAGGAGCAGCGGCATGCATACACCTCGGAGGCCTGTGCGGACGTCCCGTGTCGGCGTTGAAGGCCCCTCCCCGCCACACCCCTTCCTTGGCGCGCGGTTCGCGCGGGGCGCAGCGCCAGAAGCACCGCCGGGGACGCTGGGAGGGAGGCCCGGCGCCGACCCAGGAAGTCCGCCCAGGCCTCCGCGGGTTGATGCTCGTGCCACTGCCAGGCCTCCTAAGCCGCAGGCAATTGGCAGCAGTACAGCAAGCTGCTTGCAATTCTTGTTCAGTGTGTCGACCAGACGCCGTTGTGACAGGGCGTGCCAGTCATGCGATAGGGAGGCGTTGGCGCGCGGACCTTGCCAGGAAGCCTCCGGAACCTCCGGGTGCGCTCGCTGCCAGCGGTCTCCCACGGCCGCCGGGAGCGTCGAGCGCGCCCGATTTCCGGCCTTTATATTTTTTGGGGTTCGCCCACGCGCGCTTCGTCCAGACATTCTCCGCCGCCAGAACACTTGTGGATAGGGGCAAAAGTGGTGTGCCAGGGCCCAGGCCTCCCAAGTGGGGTTGTAGCAGACGGGGTCGAAGGATTGCGCCGCATCGCCGATGCATCGACGACTCCGCGCGATCTGCAGCCCAGTTGAGTCGTCTACGTCCTATGGCGATGCATCGGCGATGCGTCGGCGATCCTCCGTCCGTCAGGCCTTTTGGATGCGGACACGTCGCTCCAGAGCGTTCGGGAACTTTCTCAGAGCGCTCCGGGCACGCTATGGGGCGTCCGCGGCGCCAGACCGGCCGGGTCGCAGGAATGCCCGCCTGAGCCTGACCCGAAGCCATCCGCACCCTGCCGCCCGGAGATCTGGCGCCCTGGGTTGCTCCGTGCGCGGCCCACCTCGACGTCCCGACCCGTGCCCCGGCACCGGCTGCTCCTCCCGAGCCCCCTTTTTGATCGGGAGCGGGAAAGAGGGGGGTGATGACTAGGGGGGGGGGATTTCATGGCGCGGGCCATGATTTTTCCTCAGATTTGATGGCGCCTCTTCTTATTTCATTACGTCCCAGGCCCCCCCGCTGGGCCGCGCACATGCCGCCGGTCATGATTTGCACCCCCCCCTCTTGGACACCCCTCTCTTGGCCGCTCCCGATTTGACTGCCCTGAGAAGGCCGCGGCGCTTGATACATCCTCCAGAGCGGCCAGATCTCAGAGATTCTCGATTTATCTTCACCCGAATTTATCCTCGTCCTGGCTTCGTCTTAGAGTATAGCTTAGGCTTGGTCCCAGGGCCCCGTCCATCTTCAGTCCCAGAGATCTCTTGGGTCCTCCAGGTAAATCTCGCGACCTGGGCCATGGGAGCTGTCATTCTTCAAGGGGGGGGCGCGCGAGAGCGCGAAGCCCAGAGTGGGGACCTGCCGAGAGAAAGCCGGCCGCCCATGTCCTGGGCCGTATCTTCACTCGGCCCCGACCTCGGCCTCGCTCGCCTACTCGGGCGTCCCTCTTTCCGCACCTCGGCCTCGCTGTCAGGATCCTCGGCCGAAGTCTGTCCGCTCCGGGGGAAGCGAGGGGGAGGAGGGGAGGGGAGCGCTGGCTGCGCGCGGTGCCCACATCCAAGAGGTCCATTTCTGGGTCCGATCGGTCTGACCCGATGCCGATGTCGACGGGCCCGATCCTTTTCGATTCCGATGCTTCGACGATGCATTGCGGCCCGGTGCTTGCATGGCGCCGCTGCGCATCCTGGCGCGGCCGACTCGCTTCGATTCCGTCCCCGTGCGGATGCAACGCGACCTGACGCGCGCTCTGGTCCGATCCGATGCTTCGATCCGGTGCTGACTGGTTTTGCCCATCAGTGCCTTCCAGCCGATCCACATCCCCACAGGGCCATGGTATCTCGGCCCCGCCAGCCCAGCCTCCAAGGAGGGGATGGGCCCCGCGAGCCCCGGAGGGAACCGCCGATGCAACCCGACCCGACGCGCGTTCCGGTCCACTCCGATGTTTCGATTCGGTGCTGCTTGATCCTGCAGCCATGTCGTGGGCGAAAAGCACATCCATATCCGCGGCCTCATGGGCTGTAGGCCCCAGGGCCGCGAAGCCCGCTGCCGCGGGGCGCTGTCTCCGCGGGTGCCTCGCGCGGAACGTACTTGTCCGTGCGAGACCGCGCGTATCCGCGGCGTCGCGCCCCGGAGCCCAGGCTGCGAGGGCGTGGGTATATCTGGCTGGATGCGCTCGCCGCCCGCCGTCCGCGGTCGGTCCCACGATGCTCGAGCCCGCATGCCCGAGGGCACCCGGCCCGCGGCGCAGGGCCAGCACGGGCGTGCCCCCCCCGGCGCCCGGCTGCTCGCACGGAGTGGTCTTATGTCGGGCGTGTCCCCCATACAGGGGGATTTTCGACGAAGAATGAGAAATACCGACCTAAAAATAGTCAAAAAGCAGTCCAAAAATAGTCTGGGGATTATATTTTGAATTGCTGTTTGCCTTTTGGGGGCATTTGGGGGTTTTTGTTTTTTTTTTTCGTCGACACTCCCCCTGTAGGGGGACACGCCCGACTTAAGAGTGGTCCTTTCCGCACACGCGTGGCCTCCAGGGTGCGCGGCTGCCGGGTGGCTCCGCTCTGCCGTCTGCGGCTGCGGTGGGGCTTTCCGTTCCGGACGCGTCTGCTCAAGCAGTGGCGAAGCGTCCTGGCTCGCCTATAGCCCCACCAAGCAATGGTTCTGAGAACCTCTTGTTGTGGTTAGCACGAAATGTTCTTAGAACATTTCGGGTTGAGACTGTCTTGTTCTAACACATCGGGTTGATGTTCTAAGAACATTGCTTTTGTTGTTAGAACATTTTTAAGTTCTAAGAACATCTCGTGGTAGGACTATAGAAATGCTGGGACGGTCGGTCCCTGCTCAATCAGCAGAGACTCCCACCCGAGGCATCCAGAACCGCCAGATCTCGGAGGTCCTCGAGGTCTTGTTCTTGTCCCGGTCCTGGCTGATCGTCGTATGACGATCGTCCGAGTTTTTGAGCTGCTCGGGCGTTCTCGTGGGTTCACAGCGGTTTGCCTAGCTCAGGGTGCGTTCCAGCAGCTGCGCCTCTTCGGGGCCGTTCCAGGGGTGCCCGGATTGTCCCGAGCGGCCGCCTTGAGACCCGAGTTATGATCCGAAAGTCGAGCGATTCTCTGTCGGACGAATATTTGGTGCGCGGCTTTCGGGTGGCGCTGGAACCCCGACGTCGTGGTTTTTTAGCAGTTCGTACCCAGGGCCAGTTTCTCATCCTGAGCTGTTTTTTGATTGTCCCAGGGCCCAGCAAGGGCCAGCCGATTCCGAAAATGCACCAAACCATTCAGTCGTAGTTTTTCTCGACAGCGAAGATGCCAGGGGGGGCTTCCAAGCCCAAACTCGCAGGCCGCCTCTGCCGCATCGCACGCAGCGAGCGGCAGGCTGCGCACGAAACGGGCCACTTCTTGCCTCCAGGGCCGCCCCCCTGCGTGCAGCCGACGTGCGCCCGGCTGCCTGCGAGAGCCATGGCCCTGGCGGCGGCACGGCTGAGGTGGGCGGCCTCGTGGCGGTCGCTGAACGACTTGAGCCGCAGGCGCGCCTTCCTCGTGTCGGGCGTCACGTCGGCCGGGATGCTTGGCATCGCCGACGTGGGCGCGCAGTCGATCACCTGCCCTGGAGAGCCGTGGGACTGCCGGCGGACGCTGTCGATGGCCTCCTGGGGCGTCGTGTGGTACGGCGGCCCGCAGGTCTGGCTCTGGACGCGCGTCTATCTTCGGAAAAGGAAAGACGCCATAAACATAAATTGTTGGCGCTCCGCGCGGATTTCTTGGATCCGCGTTGTGGCCCCCCCAGCGGCGCCTCCGGCGCCGCCCCTGGCGCGCGCCAGGGAGGGGGGGGGTGCAGCGCAGATCCAAGAAATCCGCGGGGAGCGCCAAAAGTTTATGCTTATGGCGTTTTTTCTTCTCCCATATCCGCAGCTCATCGGCAGGGGCACCATGGCCCAGGCAGTTGCGAGCGGCTTCTCCGATTGTTGTCTCAACGTGCCGTTCCTCTTGCTCCCGTGCTTCTACATCTGGACAGGCTTGATCAAGGGCCAGACCTTCCAAACGTCGTGCGAGCATCTTCGTGCTGAGTGGTACGAGTCGTGCACCGGGATGGCTGCCTTTTGGTTGCCGTTCCAGGTTCTCAACATGCGCTTCACACCGCCACACTTGCAGACTTTCTTGGTGTCCCTGGCTAACATTGTCAACAAGACCTGGCTGTCGTGGCTCAGTAATAGACGACGCGTTCGACAGAGGCAGGAGGAGCAAGAGCAGCTTCTGGCGATGGCCAGCAGTCGTTCCATCACAAAGCCGATCTCCTTCGCAGAAGCCTTGCCGCAGCAGCAGGCAACCCAGCCGGCTGGGCACGCTGGCGGTCAAACCATCATTTGCTAGTCTTGGCCAGGCGGGCTCCATGCTTCACTGTCACAGTAATCAGCCATCTGCCTGCGGCAAGTCCGGCCACCGCACCTGTGCAATTGCGTAGCAGGAAGGAGCTTGAATGCTTTGACGCTTCGAAGAATGCCCAGGGGAACTGCACTTCTCTCTGGAGCGTGGCATCATCTTGAGAGCTCGGGGCCCGAGGTGCCCCCGTGGGCCAAAGGCTTCTTGGATGCCTCTCGGAGTGTCTTGAGATGTCTCTCGGGGCCTCTTGGATGTCTCTTGGGGCGTCTTGGAGCCTGCTAGTGACTCTTGGGGGCCTTTTGGGGGGCGTTGGGGTGGGGGCCTCTTGGAGGCCTCTTGGGACTTCTTGATGGCCTCGTGGCGGTCTTCAGAGCCTCTGGAGGCATCTTGGGTACCTCGTAGGGGCCTCTTGGGGGCCGCCTGAGGGCCTCTGGGAGGCCTCTTGGGGGCTTCTTGGGGCCGACTATGGACCCTCTTGGGAGCCTCTTGGGCGGTCTTGGAGCTATCTTGGAGGCGTCTTGGGCCACCATCGACGGTCGCAGACCCAAACCAGCGAGAACCTCAACATCCACCAAGAATCGACTGAACGTCACTGACTTTTCCTCCTCTCGCTCTTCGGCAGTGCCTCACTGAGCCATTCTGGACCGTCTTTGGAGCCTCTTGTGCCGAAACTGAGGACGTCTGTCTTGGGAGCTTCTTGGGCCGTCATGGGACACTTCAGACCGTCTTCGTGCCATCTTGGCTGTGTTGGAAGCCCTCTGGAGGCTGAAACGAGTGCCGAACAGCAAATTCAGGGGAAGACAGGGGATTGTCCGCGGGGGCGTGCTACGAAGGGGGGGTCGGCCGGCCGGCCATAGAAAGACAAACCGCATGCCCCAGATAATAAAACAGCCCCCCTTGATGACCTGAGTGTTGATTATCTCCAGCCACTGCAGTTTTGGTCGGCGGTGGAGAGCGGCAGGGCCGAACTTCGCTATCACCAGGGGAAGTACGAATCATATATCGGATCTTCTTAACGCATCATCATCATATCATCACTAGCATCATGAGTATCACAATCATTTACAGCAGCTACGACGTACTATCACTACCACTACTAGTACTACTACTAGCACTACTACTATTACTACTACTACTACCACTACTACTACTACTACTACTACGACGACGACGACTACTACTGCTGCTGCTGCTGCTACTACTATTGCTACCACTACTACTATGACTATTACTACTACTACTACTACTACTACTACTACTACTAAGCGAAGACGACTATTATTATTATTACTACTCCTACTACTACTACTACTACTACTACTACTACTACTACTACTGTCGCTACTACTACTACTACTACTACTGCTCCTACTACTACTACTACTACTACTACTACTACTACTACTACTACTACTACTACTACTACTACTACGACTACTGCTATTATTTGTATTACTACGACTTCTACTACTAATCATGATATGACTACTACGACTGCTACCACTACTTCTGCTATTCCTGCTACTACGACTACTACTACGACGACGACTACTACTACTACCACACACTACAACTACTACGACTACTACTACTACTACTACTACTACTTCTACTTCTACTACTACTACGGCTACCACTACGGCTATTATGTATACCTTTGCTACGACGACTACTACTACTACTACAATACTACTACTACTACTACTACTACTACTACTACTACTACTACTACTACTACTACTACTACTACTACTATTACGGCTACTACGACTACTAAGATTACTACGGCTTCTTCTTCTTCTACGACTACGACTACTATCACTACGACTACACCTGCTACTACTACTACTACTACTACGACTACTACGACAGCGGCAGCGACTACTGCTACTACTACTGCTACGACGACTACTATTACTATTTCTGCCACCACGACTACTACTACCACTACTACTACTACTACTACTACTACTACTACCACGACTACGACTACTACTACTACTACTACTACCACCACAACTACTACTACTACTACTACTACTACTACTACGGCTACTAGACTACTACTACTACTACTACTACTACTACATACCATACACTACGACTACTACTACTCATAATAAGACTACTACGACTGCTTCCACTACTACTACTACTACTACTACTACTACTACTACTACTACTACTACTACTTCTACTACTACTACTATACTACTACTACTACTACTACTACTACTACTACTACTACGACTACTACTACGACTACGACCACCACTACTACTACTACTACTACTACTATTTCTACTACTACTACTACTACTACTACTACTACTACTACTGTCGCTACTACTACTACTACTGCTACTACTACTACTACCACTACTACTACTACTACTACTATTATTACTACTACTACTACTACTATTACGGTTACTACTACCACTACTATTACTATTGCCACTACCACTACTACTACTACTACTACTACTACTACTACGACTACTACTTCTACTACTACTACTACTACTACTACTACTACTGCTACTACTGCTACTATACTACTAAGTACTACTACTACGACTACTACTACTACTACGACTACTACTACTACTACTGCTATTACTACTACCACTTCTACTACTACTACTACTACTACTACTACTACTACTACTACTACTACTACTACTACTACTACTACTACTTCTGCTACTGGTAGCTGTATGACTACATTATGATTCTTCTCGTTACCACCAACTACTACGACGACAACTACTACCTCCCCGCCCCCCTACGTTCGATTTTGCTTTACCTCCTGGACCTACTATCGCGAGAACATTCTCCAGAGGACCCCCCCACACGAGGGTTTCAAAATCTTTCTGACTTGATAGATTTCTCAAAATGATCTTGATAGATTTGCACTTTTGTGTTTTCGCAATCCTCCCCCCTCCTCCTTCATCCGTTTCTCCCTTCTCCGTCCTTCCTCCCCTACAGCAGCATCAACAACAATCACTTTAATATTGTGTTGCTGGCGCGCGTGTGTTGCATTCTGTACACCTCAATTTTTGATACCCGCCCACTTCGTCTTCGATCGCACCCCCTTTCGGGGGGAATCTCTTCCTTGCCGGGCACTGACTGAAGAGCGAGGAACTCTCGAGCGAGAGCGTCCTTCCTGCGTTCGGGGGCCTCTCTGGCCATGCCAAGGTCTTTCGGAATACAAGCATCGAGCGGGAACCCTTGTCGCCGTGTCTGGGCCGCTACCAATTTGTTCGAATTACGAGAAAACCTCGAGCGAGAGCACCGCTCTTGACTTCGGGGGCCTCTCTGGCAAGGGTCTCTGCGAATACATCTTGAAAAAGTATCGAACGAGAGTCCTTATCGTCGTACTTGGGCCTCCCCCAAGTTGAATGAATCACGAGAAAGTCTTGAGCGAAAGCGCCGTTCCTGAGTTCGGGGGCCTTCCTGGCCAGGGGCTCTCGGAGTAAATCGTAAGGAAGTATCGGGTACGAACCCTTGTCGTCGTGGCTGGGCCTCCGTCGAATTGATTCAAATGCGAGGAAGTCTCGAGCGAGAGCGCCGTTCCTCAGTTCGGGAGCTTCTCTGGCCAGGGTGTCTTGGGGCAAATTGTCAGGAAATGTCGAGCGGGAACCGATGTCGTCGGAGTTTGGCCTCCAAGGGCCCACCGACCTGTACATTCAAGACAACGCTCGAGCGAACGCCTCGTTTTCAGAGAAAGCGTAGCTAGCGTCAAGGCAAAAGCGCGCGGAACCGTTTCCGGATATCCGCAATATCTATTCTCTACAAAATGGGTGTTCAACAACAACAACAACAGTAAAAATCATTCTAAGACTGTTCGTTCTTATTTGCCCGCGTGTAATTCAAAACGAGCTCCCCACACCCTCGATACCCGCCCATTTTCTCTTCGATCAGACCCCCTTTGGTGGAATTGTTTCTACTTGCGGGGGGCGGCGGGCTCAGACAGGCGGGCAACCCTGAACGGGCGGACAATCTTTCGTGGGCGCACATGTGCCCGCCATTGGAAGTGGTGTGGGCCCTGCAAAAAAAAGGGGAGAACGGGGGAGAGTGGGAGGAAGGGGTGGGGGGAGGGACGAAGGAAGAGGGAAAACGCCAGGAGAGAAGGAGCGAAGAGGGGGGCGGTTGATTAGAGGCAGAGAGAACGAGAAAGAGAGAGAGATGGAGCGAGAGAGAGAGAGAGACAGAAAGACATATACGATAGATAGAGAAGTGTGTGTGTATATATATATATGTATATATATATGTGTATACATGTATATATATATATAGATATATATGCGCAGCCCCCCCCCGAGCACCCCCCCCAGGGCCCGTCATCCTCATCATCATCCCCATCGCATTTCTCCGCATCCTCATATGCATGATTATGAGGATCAGGATGCGGAGGAGGAGGAGGAGGATGATGCTGATGATGAGGATGTTGATGAGGAGGAGGAGGAGGAGGGCGGGGATGATGATAAGGCGGAGGGGGCGGATAATGCGGAGGATGCGGATGATGATGAGAATGATGATGATGAGGATGATGATGATGATGATGAGGAGGAGGAGGAGGAAGAGGAGGAGGAGGAGGAGGGGGATGATGATGATGATGACGATGACGATGACGATGACGATGATGACGATGATGATGATGATGGTGATGATGGTGGTGGTGATAATGATGATCATGATGATGCTGATGATGATGATGATGCGGAGAATGGCAATAATGATGCTGACAATGATGATCATGAACAACATGAGAATGATGAGGTGGATGATGTGGAGGGGGATGATGATGATGTGGATGATGAGGATAAGGAGGAAGGAGAAGGAGACGGAGGAGGATGCGGAGGAGGATGTGGAGGATTATGCGGAGGAGGAGGATGGGGAAGAGCTTATTCGCTGATGGCGTCATTACCAGTCGGCGAAGGAGCTTGTGTGTTTGATATACGCTTCTTGTGGCCATGTTTCGACTGTACCCGTGGATAGGTTCTTGTCTCAGTTATCTTGCTCCTCTTCCTCC